AGGGTGTAAGAGCCCTAGTATGAATGATCGGATGCCATAAATTGCCCAGGATGTGAGCAGGATGTGAGCAGGATGTGCGTGATGTAAGGCATACACCTATAAAAAGTGCACTTAAAATGAGTTGTTTATATGGATAAGATAATAAAGAGTGCCTCCTCCCCCCCCCCCCTCTCCAAATTGAAGTTTCATCAAGCTCGTATTCTATTGTCCCACTCTGGTACCAAAGATTTATTCGTTCGAAAAATGGAACGCTTGTTGATCTGGGTGGGATTCTTGTGGGATTTGACCTCGGACCGCGCGCGTGGGAGCGTCACTCGCCTTTAATGCACCTCTAACACATTTGCGTTTTGCAGCAAGGTTTCGTTGCCGGTGAGTACAACACGCCAGGAGAAACCGCAGCACCTCGAGCGATTCTTACTGGTCATGAGGCGGCTATCTCTGCCCTGGCTGTTTCTGCCGAACACGGACTCGTTCTTAGTGGTTGCGAAGGTATGAAAATTGATCTTTGGGTCGAAAAAGGGAAGCTTCAGACAGCTGTTGAGAGTACATTGATAGAAGCTTCAGTATATTCACAGTCCTTTGGTAACAACCTGTGCTTCTGCCTCTAACATATCGAGCTTCTACCCTTCAGATGGCACCATTCTAATGCACACGACGGCCGGAGAGCTCCTTCGACGGTGGGGCAGTAGGCAACGCGTGTCGCAGTTGTTGATGAGTCGCGAGTGTGTTGTGATGGCGATTTACGGTCATCACAGCTTCGTCACGCTAACTACTACGGCAAACCAGCTCGACGAAGCCGTAGCTGATGACAAGTGAGTTGCTACTTCTAATCTCGCATATGAGAAACTCATGAATTCTTTCTTAGGGTAGAGTGTGCTTGTCTGACGAGAGATGGAGAATACGTGATCACAGGATCGGAAAACGGTCGCTTGTACGGTGTGGCGGCTGTTGCCGTTGCAAAAACTGTATGCCTTCCAGGTTCGCATATTTCTGATATCTTCTTTTTCGCTTCTCAAAACGCTTTGTATGACTCATTCAAGGGGAAAGGATGCAGCTGAAGTTTTGATTGCATAGCTCGAAGGCCA